AGCACGGTCAGAATCAGGCCTGAGGCAACTCAGAAACTGATGGAGAGTAGGTAGGTAGGTCTGAGGATGGTAGACGGGTCAAGGAAGAGAACAGGGCAAAACATTACAATTTTTCGAATTATTCCATTGTTTTAAAATAGGTAGATCTTGGGGACTTCAATAATTACAACTATAAACCTGATGTTTTTCTAATCTGCCACTCACTGAATTCACTGTGCATTTTAGTTGACAGCTGTCATTGCATTTTGAAGTGGAAATTAGAGGCATTGAGTGCTGCTTCTAATATTAGTTATAGCCATACCACATAAACAGATGACTAAGAGTATAGAGAGATTTAAAACTAAAGGCTTACATTCTGGTTGAATGTTATATCACTTTTAAGTATAAAATTAGAAATGCCAAGAAATACCTTTAAAATGAGTAGAAATACCTTAAAAATAAAATGAACATTTCTCCAAGCACTTCCTTAAACACTAAATTCCATGCATGTTTTCTTGCTCTATAGACAATTGACAGGAGGGTGGGGCATTGAGAAACTATCTCCTTGAGCAGTTGTTTCATTTTGGCACCCGCCTCTGCTTGCCATATTTCCTGACGATTCTTCAGAGCCAAGAGTATCTACTAAGAGGAGTCCAAATGCTGCTGATGGCCAGGAATTGGATTTGTTACAAATGGAGGTGTTCCAGCCCTCTGAATTTGCCAACTCCATTGTTAGAGGAGCATGATAAATGGCTTGAGTGCATCTGCCCTCGTGAGCTGACAAGGATCCAAACAGCTTTAAAAATGACAGGAAGCCAGGCTTCTCTGGCTAAGTCTTGGGTAGGGTGTATCAGTCTACAACTGAACCCTAGAAACAAGGATATGTATGTAAAGAGGCATTTTCCAGGGATTTCTTCCTTTCAAGGCAGAAGTAACAGTCCTTTCATTTGACTGGCCTTGTCATGATGTCTTTGGAAATATTAGGGGGAAATGCTGCCATTAGAATTCCAGGGCACAGAGCGAGAATTCCAGGAATATTACGCCTTTAAAAGTAAGGAGCTTAAAGAATCCACTGGAAGCTTTTTTGCGAGGACCATCATATTGGAGTTTGAGTACTTTTCTTTCCTTCTTCTTCCTCCCCTCCCCCAACTTTAATTTTGTAATGGGTCACTTAAGAGAACAAACTCTGAACTTCCAGCTATTCACAAAGAACAAAATTTGTGACTGGAGCTTTAAAATGCTTGGGGGGCGGGGGGAGGAACACACAAGTAATATGAGTAGTTTTTATAACAAACAAAAATAAAACAAAGCATCACCTGTAATCCCAATGTGCAGTTAGAAGCACTGTTAATTTTAGTTATAACATTCCATGTTCCTATTTCTTTTCTGCTTATTTTTCTGTTTTATTTTTCCCTATATAAAGACATATATACCATTGTCTGTGTGTGTCTCTGGGGGTATGTATGTATACATGTGTGTGTGCATGTGAAGGTTGCTAATGATTTCCATATCACTAAATCCAGTGGTCAATTCTTAGTCCTCATCTTACATGACTGAGGGATCTTGGACACGACCGGCACCATCTTGGATGTGACCGGCACCATTTTTACACATACTGAGCACAAAATGGCCACCAGCCTTTCCCTTACAAGAAACCTCATAGAAAATGGCCGCCAGCCTTTCCCTTATGAGAAACCTCGTCGTTTCTGAGAAATAGAAACTCCTCTACTTCCACATGGGTGCAACCTTCCATCTGATTGCATCCGCCAGCCTTATCTTCCACCCCAGCACCAACCCCCTCCCTGATAACATCAGCCTTCCCTACAGTCTATATAAGCTCTCCCACCCCGGCACCTGGTGCTGCTCTCCATTCTGAGCACAGCCCAGCCCAGCAGATTCTNCTGCTTATTTTTCTGTTTTATTTTTCCCTATATAAAGACATATATACCATTGTCTGTGTGTTCTCTGTGGGTATGTATGTATACATGTGTGCATGCATGTGAAGGTTGCTAAGGATTTCCATATCACTAAATCCAGTGGTCAATTCTTAGTCCTCATCTTACATGACTGAGGGATCTTGGACACGACCGGCACCATCTTGGATGTGACCGGCACCATTTTTACACATACTGAGCACAAAATGGCCACCAGCCTTTCCCTTACAAGAAACCTCATTGTTTCTGAGAAATAGAAACTCCTCTACTTCCACATGGGTGCAACCTTCCATCTGATTTCATCCACCAGCCTTATCTTCCACCCCAGCACCAACCCCCTCCCTGATAACATCAGCCTTCCCTACAGTCTATATAAGCTCTCCCACCCCGGCACCTGGTGCTGCTCTCCATTCTGAGCACAGCCCAGCCCAGCAGATTCTTTTCCTTTAATAAAACTTGATCAGTACCCGGCGTTTCAGCTCACCTTCTTTCAATGACCTGTCAGCAGTCTTTGACACAGATGATCACTCTTCTCCTTGAAATACTTTCTTCACTTGGATCCCAAGACTCTGTACTCTGGACTTTTCCTTCTGCATCGTTGTCCTTTCTTAGATTCCTTTTCTGATTATCCATTCCCAAAGCTCAGTCCTTGGACTTCTTGGACCCATTCTCTTGGGTCTCTCTTCGGTTTCATGGTTTTAAACATCATCTACCTGCTGAGAACTCTCAAATGTATATCTCCTGCAGTAATTCTTACCTGAACTCCAGCCTCATGTCTCTCTATCTCCATCTCTACTTGGAAGGCTGATAGGAATCCCAAAGGAGTCCAAAATAGAACTTTAGAATCCTAGCGAACCACTCCCCATTACCAAAAAAAAAAAAAATCTCTTGAGATCTCGTTAAATGTTAACTCCAAACTTCCAGTTGCTCAGGCCAAAACTTCTGCTTTTTCTTTCCCGCCCCACATTGAATCCATCAGGTAGTCCTCAAAATATATCCAGAATCCAACCACTTCTCACTATAGTCTCTGCTACCACACTGGTCCAAACCACCATGAGTTTGCCTGTATTGCCATAAGAGTCTGTTAGAACAGTCTCCCGTGTTTGCCTTTGTCCTCTCCAAGACTGAGTGATCCTTCTAAAACTAAAGTCTGGGCATATCACTCTTCTCAAAACACTCCAGTGGCTTCTTGCATCACCCAGACTAAAGCCAAAATCCTTACAATAGCCTACTACACATTCTGTGCACCTTACCTCCTAAATTTGAAAATATAAAAATAGGAGGCACCATAGTGGTGGTGAAGAGCATGTGGTCAGGGTCAGACTGCCTGTGCTCAAAGCCTGACTTTAATTGTTAGCTGCGTGATGTTAGGCAAGTCGCTTAATCTCTCAGTGACCAAATTTCCTCATCTACCAAATAAGATAATTACAATACCTACCTCACAGGGTTGTTGTGAAGACTAATGAATTAATATTTATAACATGCTTACTATAATAGTGGTGGCATATAGTGAAGGTTATAAAAATAGGCATTTTGTGCTATTAGCAATAAATTCTACATGTAAAAAACATGTCTCCAATGGTCCCATCTATAAGAATTTATAGATAACCCACACATCTCTCAAAAAGAATGGAAAATGTTTTGGTTAAATAAATTTTAAATGAACCCTCATTGTTTTATTCTAAGTTCACAGTTGTACTAGATTATATACCACAATTTATGCCTTTAAATATTTTGGTACTTTTAAAGCATCCTGATGCTGAGCTGCTTAAATATTCACCTACTTCCTAATCAGGAATACTTTAATTCCTAAAATTGGTGTGATTTGTTTAGTTTATCATGTAGATTGATTTATAAGGTGTACTTCATGTTTCTGTTCTGCCTCTGGACTATTATTACCGTATTAAAGTGAAAAAATGTGATCTAAATCAATACAATAAACAAAAGTATAAGGTATATTCCTACTGCACAGTAGGGAGAATAAGTCATGTGGAATTTTCAGCATAAAGTCATAAAATTAATTGACTTTTTAGTGAAAAAAAACAGCAGACTCATTTGAACATGGTGTAATCATTATTTAAATCTGTCTGTAGGGAGAAATGAGGGAAACAGCCACCAGCCAGGCATCTGTCTATCACCACTCTGTTTTTACATCCACTTTATAAGATCCCTTTTATACTTGAGTATAACAAAAGAATAAACACCTCCAAATCCCTCCCCACTTCCCACCCCCAGTGCAGAGCATATACCCATATGCTTCAGGAACTTTTTATGATCCACAGAGGTGAGAGGGTTTTGTACTCACAAGTAAATTTCTACAAATTACTTGAAGTGGAAAGACCTATTTGGAAAGAGGCCACAAATGCATTTGAGTATGACGGTAGTCACAGGATTTGTTCAGAAAAACAAAGGGAGTTAGGACTTGTGGAAGATTTCTGAAGGGATCCTAATGTTTGTTCAAGAGAGTATAAATGAGTGGTTTGGGTTTTTTTTGATAGTGAGTTTAACTTTTTGAATATAAAACATGAAGTTCTGTTAATTCTGTAAAGTTCTTCTAGATTGTGGAAGATTTCTGAAGGGATCCTAATGTTTGTTCAAGAGAGTATAAATGAGTGGTTTGGTTTTTTTTTGATAGTGAGTTTAACTTTTTGAATATAAAACATGAAGTTCTGTTAATTCTGTAAAGTTCTTCTAGTTCTAAATGGAATTTTGGTGTTAACTGGTCCTGTTGCTAGAACTCTTAAAGGCCTCTGCATGGTGGGGCAGGCTATTGATCAGCTTCCAGGTAAAGAGAAACTTCACATATTTGCCAGCTGCAAAAATTCTCAGGCTCCACAACTATGCAGCTATTGAGAATTCCTTTGCAGAAGTGAGGGGAGAAATAACACTATTGTGTCTGCACATTAGAAACAAGAAACACCATTTAATAATAACTTATTTCCTAATTAAATCACCACTAGTGTGAAACTTATCCTTTCACAGTATTTGCATGAATAAAGATTGTACAAATGAACAGTGCCCTTCTAAAATGTCATCATAATCCTTGTCAAATAACTCTTCTCCTTGCTTTTTTCTTTTTATTTTAAAAGAAAATTAGCCCTGAAACACCATCCAGACAAGAATCCAAATGATCCAGATGCTGCTGAAAAGTTTAAAGAAATCAACAATGCCCACACAATACTTACCAACATCTCAAAGAGAAATATATATGACAAGTACGGATCTCTGGGACTCTACGTGGCCGAGCAATTTGGAGATGAAAATGTTAATGCCTACTTCATGCTGTCTAGCTGGTGGGCAAAGGTGAATCAGAAATTTTTTTTCTTCAAAAACAATTTCTCAGAAGACCATGATATTACTCATTCTTTTAGCCTCCATTTCAAAGAAAGCCTAACTTATGACTATTAAGCTCTTATTAATAAAAGGAGATATTGCTTTCAGTGAAAGCTGTTATTTGGGGATTGTTTTTGCTGAAGCTCATCAAATAATTATAAAATACAGCATAACTTAAAATACTTCTAGACATTAATTATACTTGAATTTGGAGCTTCAGGTTAATTCTGACTGCCCTCCCTCCCCTCTTCCCCCCATAATGACTAATTAAGAACTGACTCATTGCTCAAAACCAAAAATAATTTATTAGTGTGACAACTGTTTAATAAATTATTATGGACAAATTTAGCCATGTACTTTACTATTTTAGCCTAGGCTACATCAGCAAACACAATACTTGGGAGAATGACTGGTAATTATGTCATAGGCTCACAGGAAGCCTGCTCTGAGGTAGTAGAGAAGGAAATGACGGGAGAAAGGTGAGAATTAAGTAGTGGAGGACAGGGAATTGGAGGGACAGAAAGAGGTGGGGGAGACAGAAATGAGTATCTGGTCAAGAAAAAAGCAACAGGACTTAATGCAATCGGAATTGACATTTGCACAATAAATTTTGTTTGGTTTCCTAGGAATTTCTAATGTATGTATGTTTGGCGATGGTTTTATATTTGTTTATGAATCTGATATCCTTATCTTCTGATAAAAGTATATTTACCTATGTGCCATACATGTAGCACACCAGCATATTTTGTGGAAAGTTCACTTTACATTCATATGAGTTGTAATTAGTAAAAATAATAGTAATAAAAACCCAAATCTCCAAAAGGGCAGGCTTTATGCTGATGGCTATTTTCTTCCAGTGAATCTTGCTAAATTGAAGTTTTATATATGCAGGAAGAGAGAATATGCCTTTGTACGTAAGTAAGCATGCAGAGAGAGTCTGCAGCCTGAAGTCTCATTTGCTTTTTGCAATACCCAGAGTTCTTTTTCTGGGGGATAACTGGAATTCCCACTAGAACTCCTTTTTCTTTTGTGGAAGACTTGGGAGGGAGATAAGTTCCTGCCAAGCAGGTTTGGAACTCAGAATGGGAATGTACATACTGACAATGTCATTTATGACAGTAGATTGAACACATATAACAATAATGGGCTTTTGAGGGCTTACATGGGAACCCAGCCTCCAGGCATGGCACTCTCATGGGAAGGCACATCAGCAGGTCCAGATAATTACACATGTGCACCCGATTACATACTGGGGCTGCCTGCATAAAAATAAGAATAGGTTTCATTTTCTAGGAACTTGACAGAATTGATCAAAATTCATACAGAAAAGCAGAATCTGCCGAGGAGTGCAAGAGATATACAAAAAAAGTTTTGATTTAAAAATAAACTCACAAAAAATATATCTTTCTCTTCTACTTGCGCAAAAGCCCAATAAAACGGTGCCCATCAGAGTGGCCTGGCACATAGCAATCATATGTTAAATATGCACTACATGAATGAATAAATGTACCATCAAAAATATGTATTTTAAAAAATATTGGAGATCTATTTGTGCCCAGTAGTGTGCTCAGCACTGTAAAGGATAAGGCCAGATTATTTCCTGAAAACAGTCTCATTGGAGTAATTAAAGAATAGAACAGGATATGAATGAAAAGAAAATTTTCAGGGAAGAGAATAATATGCTAATTTTACAGTAAAAACAGAAAGGGCAAAAGTCGGTAAAGAAGGGAGGAGCAAAAATGTAAAGTATCCACAGCAAAGAGATTATAGGTTGAGGGTGTGACTCGAGCTCTCCCATTCCAGCCACCGGAGGCTGCACCCCACACCTGGGGCCAGAGCGGATGGCTGGAGTCCTGGGACAGGTGAGGTTCAACAACATTAAGATTTTTATCTGAAGTTACTGAAGAAGTGCAAGGCACACAGATGATCTTTATCTTTTTTTTTTGGTGGCTGGCTGGTTCAGGGATCCAAACTGTTGACCTCGGTCTTATAACACTGCACTCTAAATGACTGAGCTAACCTGCCAGCCCAGTGAACTTTATCTTTTATCTCCCTTGCACATTAATTAGATAAAATCTGCATTTTGATTGAAGATGTATAAACTACTTCCTTTCTATTTCAAATAATGTTTTTAATAAAATCATAAATCGATTTTACTTAATTCACAAAAATGGGCTTCTTTTAACTTCAATTTGGTGGAGTACAGAGAAATTATTTATTTAGCAAACAAATCTTTTATATTTGTAGGGAAATCATGGTGCTGTTCACTAGGAGGAACAAATCATTTGTTTATTAATTACTTTGTATATACATTAATATATAGTAGGTATTTGTTAAGTGTCTACCACTTGCCAGGTACTAAATCCTTAAATAGGAGGGACTGAAAGATGACTAACATACACTTCCAACCTTCAAGAAGCTCTCAGGCTCGTATAATGATACAGACCCATTAACTGATCAGTGTTCAAAAGTGTCCATACAAAAAGCACCAAGGTAGAAGTTTGTATGGAGTACAATTGGGACATAAAGGAGGAAGTTACTATTTAGGAGCAGGGGCAGGAAAGATATTGCAGAAAGGATCTTTGAGGTGAGTCTTCCTTACTAGGTGGGTATCTGTTAGGTGACAGGGGAACGGGAGGAAACATCTAGGCAGATGAATCCACAGGGAGGGCAGAGGTGTAAGACAAGGAAAGGCCAGATCACCATAATAAGGAGCTCAGGCTTATCTGAGAGGCAGGAGAGTCGCTGCGTAGGTTCGAGAGAACGTGTATTTTGGAAAGTTTACTCTAGCAGCACTGTGCAGGATGGACTGGAGGGAGGCCAGCCAGAGTGGAGGCAGGCAGGCCAGGTGGGAGGCTGCTGAAGTGTCCAGAGCAGGGAGAATGAGGATCTGTTCTAAAGCCCTACTGGCCGGGATAGAGAGAGGGGAGGATGTGAGGGATCTGGAGGAGAGAGACTGTACAGGACTTGGTGACTAATAGAACTGTGGGTGTGGGACGGGGAGGTAAGACATAGCTCTTCTTTGGGGAGAATGATTTGTTTTGGGGGCAGGGCAGCTTGGTTAGCTCATTCAACCTGTGGGGGTTTTGTTGGTTGGTTGATTTTTGTTTTGCGTTGCTCTGCTCTCAATAACGACCACAATAACTTGAGAATATAGAAGATGGCTTCCTTTGTTACTTTGGCTACAAGTCATTTTCTCTGGGTCTAACTCAAAGGCAAAACTTTAGAAGGAAATTGATTCCCAAGAAAACTAAAAAGACAGTTCTTACACGGAATAAGGATGAGGGTGAGAATGGGGTCTGTGGGGTACACGGGCACAGACTTGGTTTCTGGGGTCCTCCCCCACTCCACCGCCCCTCACCCTGCTTTGCTTTGCCTCTGTACCCCGCAGACCCTGTTCGTCGTCATTGGCCTCTTGACAGGCTGCTATTTTTGTTGCTGTCTGTGCTGCTGCTGCAACTGCTGTTGTGGACACTGCCGGCCCAAATCCGCGATGCCAGAGGAGAACTATTATGTGTCTCCAGAGGATCTTGAGGAGCAGATCAAGACCGACACAGAAAAAGGTGAAGACGAGAGTAGAGGTGGTGAGTGTCCCTTCACAGGCCTGACCAAGCACCAGGTCCCACAGCGTCGACTATCACTAAAGAGAGAGAGATCCAACACCAGATGGGGGAAATCCCACAGACTGTCAGTTTTAGTACCTCTGTGGGGGAGGATGAAAGGACAGTTACCTTTACCAGCCACAGAAAAAATCAAAACCAGTCACTGTTAGAGAAAAATCAGGAAATATGCTGATGATGAAGCAAAGCAAGTACAATTCATGGTCTTGTTACAAGAGCCTGAGCTCTGGATTCAGGGAGGTTTGGGTAAGTGTCCAGGGCAGGAGAAGTAAAGTAGAAATTTCTCCCAGGAAAAGCACTTCAGCCTGTTCCTTCAGGGTCACTATTGAAGTAGAAGAGAATAGACATCAAAAAAGTCATCAACCCTTGACTTTTCTATCTTTTGATGACTTGATAATGAGTCTTGGGTGGAATTAGGGAAGAATAATCCCTCTTCCCCTGAAGTGTAGCTTCTTTCTAAATACACACATTCAGGGGTAGCCTCAAACCAGCATCAAGAATGGGACTATTTGCTTTGCTAAACCACCTCCCCATGGCCATGATATATTACTTGATTCTTCAAGTTCATTCTACCCAGAAATGAAAAAGAAAAAAATGCAAAGAAAGATAAGATCTCAAAGAATTCACACCAGGAGTACTTTGTGCTCTTTGGGAAATGCCTTTGTTTAAACCACCTAGGGTCAAACCTGCCATTGTCCTGCTCCATATTACAGCCATATTCTACTGTCATTTTCTCCTATAGGAAGCGTCTTTATTCTGGACCACAGACTTTATGACTAAATCCCCCCAAACCCTAGACAGCCAACCAAGAAAGTTACTTGATAATTCAGACAGTGGGCCACTGTTGTCAGAACTGCTGAAATTAGAAATGGTGCACTTCTCTGGACTGCACCATGCCCTGATCCTTTTGATCACACTAAAACAGAAATTCCAAGACATCAAGCACCAGACTGTTGTAAAGCTTTCATACACCTTTTATCCTTGATCAAATGCGATACTAAGTAATATACAGTTATTACCACCCTGCCCCCACCCCCGACTCCAGCTCAAAGGGAGGAGTCTTCAATCATGTGAGTCATACTGAGTCCCAGGATTTTTCAGAATTGGAAATTCAGATAGAACAGAAGGGGTTTTCCTGTAACCCCTTGCTATGGGGACCACTGGGCAGACAGTCCAGTGGGGGTGTTCTGACAATTTCTTATTACTGCCCCAGAACCAATTGTAGGCCCATGGTTACAATTACAATTTTCCTTTGCTTTATTTGGGGTATAAAAGGACAAATTAATCTCTTTTCTTTCTTTAGTTTAAAGATCTTAATTGTGGTTCTAGAATCAAGCAATACTTCACTCCATAAAATAGATTAAGTGTTCCATTGAGCTAAGCAAAAGAGGTAACAGAAAAGGGGCTGAAAAAACCAGAAACAAACAACAAAAAGTGGATTGGTTATTTCAAAGTTACTTTCCCTGTAAGTGGGGACAGGAGACAAAACAATAGAAAAATAATTGATTATTTAACATCAGCTTACTTCGGGCTGTCTTCTTGTGTAAGGATTAAAAGCAGAGGAAATTTCACTATCATGTCTATTGAGTATTTAAACTGGCTTGTTTGGAACATTGGCCGTTATCACCTCTCCTGGTTTCTCAGAAGGTCAGACAACTTAGTTTGGTTTTGGTAACATAGAACTTTAGCATGGGTGACTCCATTTTGACTTTTAGTCTGGTCTGTTGAGACCTAATGCAGAGACTTAGTCCAAGACAATGGCCTTGTGTAATTTTTATTTAACAATTCCCCCCTTCTGGTCGGGCTGTGACCTAGGTGAGAGAGTGACCAAAACTTAGGTCATCGGTGTTGCTCTCGGTTATCCTCATTCCAGATTCCCAGTCTCAGCACACCATTCATAGGTTAAGGTGTCCTCCTTATCGTGCATTTCTTTGAGTTTTTGTTTTTCCTGCCAAAGAGAGACCATTTGATGTTTGAAGTATGGCTACATACAAACATTTAAAACTTTTGAGAGAATATATAAGTGCACCAGGAAGACAAGTATCATGACTATCAAGAGAATAATTACCAAGAATTTGGATTATCCTCCTTAAACAGGGTCCCCATGAGCCAAACTGACTAAAATCAGATAGCCAGATGAGTAGTTTGCCCATATTAACCACGTAGCCTGTCTGTTAATTTTTTGTCATTGAGTCTCTACAGTACCCAATGTATTTATCCATGTGCTGTGAGAAGTGTTAGCAACTGCACAGACTCCTCTCTATTCAGCTAGTAGGTAACCTAGCATCCCATGATGGGGTTAAACTAAAGCAAGAAATGGCAATTTGCAAGTTACTTGCAGACACTGTTGATTGCAAAATTTTAACTACAACTTTATTCTGCCAAGTGAAAGAGGTAGGCATAAGGAAAAGGTTAGAGGGTTCAGAGTCTCATTATGATAGAAGGTCTTATCCTGACTGTCTTGGGAAAAGCTGTCCACAGCATGAAGTTGGCAACTTCTTGTCCTGGGTTGCAGGTTGAATGTCTCTGGTTATGGCATCAGGTGTTTTTGGTGATCTCTCTTTATGGCCCACACATCAGTCATCAGACTTTCCCTTGAAATCTACATTAAGTTGTCCAGCTTTGGCTTATCAGGCTTCAGGAACAGAGCAGGACAGAGCAGTTCTCATTTCTTTGTTGGAGTTTTAGCCTGATATTAGAGAAAACTAAAAGAATTCAGAATCTAGTCCAGTGTGCAGGTAGATAATAAAAACTCAAAAACAATGAACAGGGCTACAATCTAATAACAAGTATACTATAGTGTTCTTTTGAAACATAATTTTTCTCTCTACATCAGAATCTAGTCCAGTGTGCAGGTAGATAATAAAAACTCAAAAACAATGAACAGGGCTACAGTCTAATAACAAGTATACTATAGTGTTCTTTTGAAACATAATTTTTCTCTCTACGGTTGCCTACATTTCTACCAAAGATAATCATGGTAAGACCAATTTGCATGGTTATTTACATGAGTGCAGCAGGAATAACCACATAAGCTTCTTTTAAATTTGCTCTGCTGGAAATTTTGACAAGGAATATTAGATGAGACTTTTAAAAACCATGGGCTGGCCCCGTGGCGCACTCGGGAGAGTGTGGCACTGGGTTCGGATCCTATATAGGACTGGACTGGTGCGCTCACTGGCTGAGCGCGGTGCGGGCGACACCACACCAAGGGTTGCAATACCCTTACCGGTCACGAAAAAGACAAAAAAAATAAATAAAAATAAAAAATAAAAACCTCTTGATGCTAGGAAGCCAATCCAACACAGACATTAGACTTTGCCTGATGTATCTAATATCTTAAGGTTCCTAAACATTCCAGGAGGTGACAACTTACTTGCTGGAAGGCTGGGAATCCTTAAAGCTAGGCATTCTATGCACATTTTCAAATATGACATTCCAGTTGAAACCTTAAAAATATAATCAATGTTTCCAGTTGTATCCTGTTAAAGAGAACAGATTCTCTTTAAACTGAAGTAAATAACCATCTTGCCATAAAAATAAGAATATTCATGAATAGTTTCTAAATTCTGGAGAAATCAGGTAGAGAGGAAAAGTAAATATTCTAATTTTTTGTTTATAAGAGTATGCTTTACCAAATTTCTATGAGCTAAAGATGGCTTTAGATAAAAAGAAAAAAGTTTCCTTAAATCCAGAAAACAAAACATTAAAAGATCAAGCAATGTTTTAAATAAAGAAGCCATAAAAACCATAATTCTTCAATTAGTTTCATGTAATTAAATTCTTGCTCTGATCTAGGTTAGTAGTTCCACAAACTTATCAGTTTCCTCACTAGAATTTTAGAAATGCAGTTCAATGGTATGAACTGAAAGTTATTAGAAACCTGTACTTATCAGAGTTCTTTTTATTCTTTACATGAACTTCCTTGAAGACACAACACTTTAGGGTTATAATTGCTTGCAAAGCACTTTCAGAAAGAACATTGGAATAAAGCAATTAACCGTGGACATGAAGACTTAACATGGCCATAATTAAAGATTTGATGAGAGTTACAAATTGACCCCCCAAAATTGATTATTTCTGTGGCATACAACAATTTAAAATAATCAGAATTGTGACTGATAGCATTTTTATCAAGACGTATCAGATTTCTAGGAACTTTACACAATTTTGGAACATATCCATGTAAAAATAACTCAAAGAGGAATAAACATCACTGCTTATTTGACAATGTTTCCCATATAATTTAACTTACCACATAAGCCCAATTAGGTTTTTTGTGTTTGTTTGCTCTGTCTTTGGGGGTTTTTTTGTGGCTTCCCAGTACAGGTATCCAAACCTGTGACCTCAGCGTTATAAGGCTGTGTTTTAACCAACTGAGCTAACCAGCCAGCCCCCAATTAGTTTTAATAGCTCTCTTTTATAGATCCTTTGAGAAGTTTCAGGCCCCTCTGGAACTTCCCAAAGTTAATTTGAGGTCAAAGATGAAAGAAAGTGAGCCAAGACACCATGTACCGATCGAGCTTTATTAAAGAAAAAGAAAATCTGCCAGGCTACACTCAAAGTGGTGGGGAGCCCAGGGCTGCCCTCAAAATGGAAGACAGCACCAGATGTGGAGGTGAGAGAGCTTATATAGGGCACTAAGGGCATCAAGGTGGGGCGTTAGGCTAATGCAGAAACTACGCGACCAGGATGGAAAACTGAGCCCTTGTGGAAGCAAAAGGGTTTCTGTTTTGCAGAAGTCATGAGGCTTCTTGAAAAAGGAAGGGGGTAGGGGTTTGGTGCTGGAGTGGAAGACAAGGCCAGTGGGTATTTTGTGCTTATTGTGTGCACAATGGTGCTGGTCACATCCAAAATCCATCATTCCCGCTTTTTAAGTATAAAGAGAAGGGAAAAGGGGTGAAGGTCTCATTCTTCTGAAGCTACTTCCTGCTGGAGATGGG